CTGTGAAACGATAAAAAGAGCCATTTATTAGGACAGGTGGAATCAAGAAATGCGGTAATATCTGCTAGGGTCCAAAGGTTTTCGTCCCCCTGAAATTCATATATTGAAATCCTCACCCCGACAGCGATGGTATTAGGAGGTGGGGCCTTGGGAGATGGTTAGGTTCTGGTGACAGAGCCTCACAAATGGGATTACTGCTTTTATAAAAGAGGCTCCCGAAAGATCTCCTGCCCCTCCCACCATGAGAGGTTTACAACAAAGAGACATTGTTTACGAGCCAGGAAGTGCCCTCAACAGACCCTGAATCTGGAGGCAACTTGAAATTGGACTTCTCAGCCTCCAGAGCTGTGGGGAACAAATTTCTGTGGATTGTATGCTATCCAGTCTATGACATTTTATTATAGCAGCCTAAAAGGACTAAGATATAAAGTATAAAAAGTTTCATTTTCTAAAGTGTCCTATTTTCACCTAAATCTGTTTAGCAAACCATATTAGTTCTCCAAATGTATCCAATTTTAGAGCTGTATATTTTATCGAGAAAGTCAATGATATCACCATAAAGATGACTTGAAGCAGGAACCTCAGAAATATGTGAACCTATGAAATTCAAACCAAGTATAATCTAGCCTTTGTCTTATGTAATTTCAAAACTGAAAAAAGTTAAAAACATACATCAATATACTAAAATATCAAAAAGATGAAATTCTCTTAAATATCCCCATATCACAAATGATTAAGAATATCCAGCTTTATAAAAGATGCTGTCAAGTATCAGAAAGTCATTGTGCATTTATTTTGGGCATCATTATTTCTGGAAATGACATAGAGAAAATGTTGAGGTGTGTGCTGGGTTCCCTTTTGTTTGGCAGGAGCCAGTTTCACATTCCCTTCTTTCACACCACAGAACTGAGAGTCCTGTGAGGGTAAAAGGGAAGAACAGGAGCTGCTGATGCTTACACTTCATTTTGCTCGCCCTGTGTTATAAAGTTAATGATATGCCTTTAACTGCCTGACAAGTTATTTAATCCAGCTACAGCTATTAAAAATTCCTATTCATTTGACCTAGGATGGAGTTCTAGCTATGAAACACAGGATGACAGAGAAAATTATTCAAATATTCTCTGTGTAGCTTATAAAAAACAGAGATTTAGTTCTTACAGTTCTGGAGGATGAGAAGTCCAAGGTCCGATTTTCAAATATGCTAAGCTCTTTAAAAGCAAGTAACACAAATTGGTAACTTAATTACAAATGCCTTATTGTTATCACAGAATGTTGAACCCTCATAGTAAATTACCACACACAGGCCATGCTACGTTTGTCTAAAGGAGGTTGACATCCATGAGAATGGTATGGAAGATTCTCCAGGGAAGAAATGAAGATGTGGCTGTAAGTCACAGCTGTTTGCTCTTCTTTAAAGATATGAAAGTTCCCAAGGGCATGAGTTTCAAACAGGCCATTCTACCCTTGCCCTTTTATCCTCAGATGAGTAGAGCTAACTTTCCATCTAGTCACTACGTGGTATTCACTTCATGGTCAATCGTGTGCAAAAAGAGAAAATAACTCACATAACTGAAAAGTCCAGGTTTGACTTCAGGCATAACTGGGTCGAGATGCCCAAATTCTATCTATCTTGGTCTCTGGCTTCCACATTCATCTGTTTTCATTCTAAGGCAGATTCTTGTTTAATGCCAAGATTAGCCACCAGTAGGCCCAGTCTTAAACCTATAAACTTAACAACCCTCACTGAAAAAAAGCAGCACTTTTTCCCTAGTGTCAGTGACTGAAGTTGATTGGCTTTGATTGGCCTGGCTATAGTGCTTATTACATGCACTAAGGATAGTGAGATGCTACACTCTCAAAGGCTAGGACTTGGTGATACAACCGCCCTGCAACCCCAAAGTAAAGCCAACTGCATCTGAACCACATGGGCTGAGTACAAGGTTTGTTTCTCAATGGGAAACTGAAGAGTGCTAATTCCAGAAGGGAAAATGATACTGGGCATGCAAAACACGACAAAACTTTGATGTGGTGGAAACAAAAACAAAAACCCAAAGCAGATTCAGTAATTTTTCAAGCAGTGACCAAGCGGATTTGATAATATGAACAAGAGAAAGGAGTAAAAAATAACTGACTATATATCTTATTGACTCATCTAAGGCTAGATACAGCAAACAATCTAATAAAGTGTTCATAATTTCTTTGAGCCAAGACTTGAGAATGAAGTTGAAATAGAAATTAATTAGGTCACTGTATTAGTTGGGGTTTTCCAGAGAAAAAGAATCAATTGCATGTGTCTGCCTGCCTGCCTGTCAATCTATCGATCTGTTCATCCATCCATCCATCCATCCATCCATCCATCCATCCATCATCTATCAATCAAGAGGTGTAAGGAGCCTCTGAACATGGATTGTGGGTATGTCACACAGTGTAAAGCTTGGTTTGTCAAGGATTTGTAGCTGTGCACTGACCCTAAAATCTATGTGTAGTTCTTAAGCATGTTTTTTCAATTATAAGTTTTGGGGATGAGTTGGAAACTTTTACTGAAAAAAATTAGAAAATCTTTCCTTTTCAACATTTTCTATAGGAAGGTCTATTGTCCAATTTAGAGATGTCATGAGCTATTTTGGAATAATAAATTTATTTTCATACACCAAACTCTAAGGCCTAAATTTTACAGAGAAATTTTCTTTGCATAGACTCATTCACTAAGCCACAAATGACTAGATGCTTGCTGGCATTTTTAAAAACCTCAGTGATACCAAAATTCACTAAGCAATCCCAAATACCTCTCTTAATGCCAAAATTCAATTTGTATTTATCTAGAACCTCGTAGCCTCCATTTACATGGTACCAGTACTACCACCATTGCTTACTCCATCTTATGTGACACAATAACCAATTTAATTTTCAATTCAAGCCCAAATCATGAATTTGGGGTGCGAGAACACAGCAAAAACCAACAATTTAAATTACATTTTTCAAATTCTTCAATGTAACTGATTGCATATTGATAACAAAGGGAAATTTGTTAAGTTTAGCAATGTTTGCAAACATTAGTTTTTTTTTTTTTTCCATATTCCAGTATTTTTATTTATTTTTTTATTTTATTTTATTTTTTTGATTTTTTATTGGATTATAGGTTTTGGGGTACATGAGCAGAGCATGCAAGACAGTTGCGTAGGTACACACATGGCAGTGTGCTTTGCTTTTCTTCTCCCCTTCATCCACATTTGGCATTTCTCCCCAGGCTATCCCTCCCCACCTCCCCCTCCCACTGGCCCTCCCCTTTTCCCCCCAATAGACCCCAGTGTTTAGTACTCCCCTTTCTGTGTCCATGTGTTCTCATTTTTCATCACCCACCTATGAGTGAGAATATGCGGTGTTTCATTTTCTGTTCTTGTGTCAGTTTGCTGAGGATGATGTTTAATAAGTCCATTTAGTTCAAAACCATAGGGCAGATAGATTATGGCAAGTTGTTTTTTGTTGTTGTTGTTGTTTGTTTGTTTTGAGACTGTCTCACTCTGCCACCCAGGGTAGAGTGTGATGGTGCAAACTCAGGTCACTACAACCTCCACTTCCTGGGTTCAAGTGTTCTCCTGCCTCAGCCTCCTCAGTAGTTGGGACTACAGGCATGTGACACCATGCCTTGCTAATTTTTGAATTTTTAGTAGAGACAGGGTTTCACTATGTTGGCCAGGCTGATCTTGAACTCCTGACCTTGTGATCTGCCCACCTCCGCCTACCAAAGTGCTGGGATTACAGGCATGAGCCACTAGGCCTGGCCAGCAACTCTTTAAAAAAAAAAAAGTTTGTTTGCTTGTATTCTCACTCATATTCTTGAAACTTAACACCCAATATGGTTGACTGCTGTTGGGCAAGACCTAAGAATGATAGAGAAACCATTTGATTTTCAAAAACATCCACTTCAGCAGGCTATTACATAATTACATGTTCACAGTTAAATTTATAAGAGATTAAGGGAAACTAGTAATTGCTGAGGGCAGTTTATTTTCATGAAGATACCAGACGTCAGCAAAAACTTAGGCAGTGTCATGAATTTTGCACAAGAATGTTAAGCTATAAGCAGGGCAACCATAGTGGAGGTAGAAAACCTCTACCAAAATCCAGTTCAGATAAGACATCAGTTTTCTACACTGTGACTCAACATGTAATCACCTTTTGGAGGTGGAAGGGGTATATGAGGCCAGTGGGATCTGATGTTTCAGGGCAGTCATAGCTCTTCTCAAGGACTCAACTGTTCTGCTTTTGTTTTTCTTTAAAACAGCCACCCACAACACTATTTAACAAACCAATCAATAATTTAGCCAATCTCGACTGAAAAAATAAAACGGTTTACAGAACATTTCATACCACCTAGGCACTCTAACACATGTTCAGGAATTCTGAACATGGATATTTGTGAGTACATAAATGCAGGTATTTTTCTGGGAAGTTAGTTCATAGTTTTCATTACCTTCTCACAGGGGTCTTTAACTTCCAAAAAGTTAAGACCATAATAATACTCACTACAATTATTTTCGTATTAATAAATCATTATGGGTATTTAAAAATTTACTTGCTAAAAATTATTTCCTTGAAACCATGCCAGGTAAGCAGTTTTAGAATAGACTGTCAGGTTGTAGAACAGCCTGTTATACAGAACTAAACAAAATATTTTAAAAATAGAAGAATCCTGTATGTTACAAGGTAAATAGCTATTTCCATATTGTAAAAAAAAATCCTAACATTTTATTCATATACATGCATTTCTACCTTAATATTTGTGATCAACATTGTGTGAGACCAACATTTGTGATCTAACTTCTCAACTAGCATCTACACACAAGAGAAACTGTTTATAAAACTTTGCTTTTTAGATTAATAGAATTTTAAAGTAATTTAGTCACCTGGAATATTTAGGCACAATATAGAGGCTCTAGATGATTTCATTATATTGGTTATTTCTGTAATTTCATATTACAAAATAGTAAGTAGGCGCATTAATTTTTTCAAAACACAGCTTTATTACAGCTTTACTGTAAATCAGATACATCTTTCTCTGTACACATTTTGTATGCTCATTAAAAGTTTGGTTCCCTAAATTGGTATGAACAAATATTGGCAAAATTGTTCAAGAATATTTTCCTTTGAAAAACTTATTACTATGTCTTTGAAAAATAACAGGTCTAAGAAATGCTGCAATATGGCAATTTTAAAGTCACTTATTCCGTAACAAACATTCCTATTTTAAGTAAAAAACCTAAGATTTTAATTTGTCCCTATGAAAAGCCTAAGCAATGTCATACTTAGAAAAACTAAAAGATGGTAGAAACAATGAAGATCTAAATGATCCTTATGTTTGGATAAAACTGGAGTGTTTATATTCTCAATAACAAAATATTTCCTTAGAGAAAAGAAATCTAGTATCTGACTTAAGTGAATAAAGCTGAAATGGTATTTTTGCCAGTGCTCAGGCAAATCACACAGATCAAGGAAGCTAACTGTACTTTTGATACGGCAAGTGAATAGGTGAATGTACAATCAAACCTTAAAAATGATATGTAATTCTAAAGTTGAACAAGCTACTCCGTCAAACCAAAAGCAGTTACTTTAAAAACATAAAAAACAAACAAAACCCTCTAATGGTCAATTCAAACTGGCTGTATAAATTGAGTTTTAATGGCTACAAAATCTTTCAAATTGCTAAGAGCACAACTGATTAAACTGAAGGACTGTATTTAGGGTGGAAAAAAAAAACCCAAAACCTATGTCAGTGACAATGTCCTAATGTGACAAAAAGCTTTTAGACAAAATGACAGCCGTCTTTAAAAAAGTGCAAAGAGATGATACCATTTCCCCATCTTCCAAACAGCATCCAAGCAATTTCCATCAAGATGCAATCTTATTAATCTCTGTATTAACCAGTGTTTCTCTTTTTCATCATCACTCCCTAAGGAGTCTTTTTATAATCCTAATCAACCACCTCCCAAATTTTCATACCAGGTATATTATCTGTTTATGTACAGTGTGTATATTCATGCTTTATAGATTTTTTTTGTCCCCCAGAACCATTTTGACAAGGAGCACGTGGTGCAAACAATGAAAGGTTTATAGTATTAAAACGTTTTTATTTGAATAAGCAGGGAGAAGAGAAATATATTTCAGCACTTAGATATGTAGATTATTTCCAAAATAGTTTAACACTCAACTAGTCAGTTCTGTCAAATCAGTTTTCCCCAAAGCAGGCATTGTTTCAGGGACAAGCAGTCCTCACTTTGCACAGTATCGTGGGACCATAAAAATAGCCATGCAAAACAATCTTAATAATCAATGGGGAAAATGACTGCTCCATAACCTTTAAAATTCTGCTAAAATATTAAAAACTCTTAAGATCACTTGTAAAAAATGCAAAAAAGTTTAAAACTATTTATGTAGTACAATGTTATTTAAAACATTAGAAATAGAATTAAACTGTTTTATTCCATTGTAGAAACTAGTTTGACTAGGGCTTGCCTTTTCTTCTGCCAAGTAACGTATGGTACTGAGTAAGCATCTTTTCTATTCATGGCAAACTGTCATACCACCTTTTTAAGTTTGGGTCAGCTTCCCCCTTTTATTGCTTGTGCTTTTGAAATATTTCTGTATTCACATTAAATATTCTTTAATGCATTTTTCCCTTCTTCTGGGACATATTTTTCTTTCCTGTTGCTGGAGTGCAGTGGCACAATCTCGGCTCACTGCAACCTCTGCCTCCTGGGTTCAAGCAAATCTCCTGCCTCAGCCTCCCGAGTAGATGGGATTACAGGTACATGCCACTATGCCAAGCTAATTTTTTGTATTTTTAGTAGAGATGGAGTTTCACCATGTTGGCCAGGCTGGTCTCCAACTCCTGACCTTGTGATTTGCCCACCTCAGCCTCCCAATTACGTGGCCTGTCTGTAATCCTTGGCTCATGGATTATAGGTGTGAGCCACTGCACCTGGCCGGGACACATTTATCTTTACTGCAACCACTTTTCCTACATGTACTGATAAGTTTGCCTTCGCTAAGCTCCTATGAATGAATAGCAGCAAGAACAACATTCCCATGATCAGTGACTTCTACAAGTCCATTTATGTTTGATTCAAATTTCACTTCCAGTGTTATTACTATTTTTCATTGCTTTGCTGCACTTTGATCTTTGTTGGCTAATTGTTCCCTTCTATAAAATGTCAAGTGGATGACAAAAAGACAGCATAACTACGTGCTCTGCTGTGAGTGAACCGAGTAACAGATGCGCAGGGACCAACCACTGGAAGAATTTGAAAGAAGTAACATGACTGGTTGCTGATCATGACCATGAAGCATATCTGTTGTTTACATAGTGATTTGTAGACCGAAGAACTAGCAGAGAAGTTTGTACCTCATGTAATTACTCATAGTTATACTGTGCTAACTAAAATTTTAACTTAGATTTAAACATCACCAGTTTTCTTTCCTTCCTGGTAAGGAAACTGGTGGTGTTTAAATCTAGGTCATTGAAATTTGTGCCCATGGGAACCATGCAAAGTGAGGACTGCCTACACCCTCTACTTGTGTATACTGATCCAGACAGGCTTAACACTGACTACTGAGAAGTAGCCTATTTAATTTATATCAAATAGTGAATCTTAAAGCACCGAAGATGAAAAATTACTGCACATTGAGGTGGTTTCAAAATCTCTGTCATTTGACAATCAAGCTTGAAATGTATCTTAGAGTAACAGAATTTTAGAAATAAAGACCTTCAAAGGCCCCATAGTTTGATACCACAGGTTAACCAGCATGTTTATTATGAATTATTTCTCCTCCTTCAATTTCAATTTGCTCATACAGCCATTTGCGGTCACAGCGGCATTCCGCTCCACATTTGGTAGAACCACAGGCAGGACAAGCGTAGAAACATCCTAAGCAATCTTCATCGAGGCAGTCACAGAGGTCCATCCCACTAAAAATCAGGAGCCCCTGGCTATCATAGACCTTACTCTTCGCTGGTATCACCTGTCTGTAAAATAAAACACAACGAATTATACCTCATAAATACGTTATTTTTGATTTAACTGAAAATACAGTATAAAAAAATTAAAGGAGATAAAATATTTTGAGATGAAGTCCTGCCAAAATCATCTATCATTTATCAGGCTCAAGGCTTATTCTATCATCAGCAGTAAATGAACTCCATGTGAGAAGAGACGTAACTCTAGAGTGTTGAGACAAATCCAAGAAGTCTGATGTGCCTCCTGAAGTCCCTTTAAACGTCACCTCAGCAAAGGAATGAACAAGAGCTTTGTCTAAAAAATAAGTATAATTTTCCCTTTACTTTAAACAAATGTAAAAGAATGATGGGTTAATAGTGGTTCATTTTACTAGCCACCAATCTCTTCACTGTTTTATCAACATAGTTTTATTTGTATTACAGTATGCTGCCCCTACAGATTTTTAACCTGCAATTAATGTTTCTTCTTTAATGGATTCTAGTAAATTTGGCCTAAAAATATTTAAATGACTCTATGGTAAACTTTAATAGACAGAATAAATGGCATATACAGAAATTTTGACTGAACTTAAAATAATTCTGAATGATTATGCTAACATTTGTTTTAAAAGACTCATTTATAAACAATTTAATTCTCCATTCTACTGACTACACAAACTGCATTTCTATTTCAGACATGTAAAAACTAAAAACCTTGCATTCTCATAAAATGTAATTACCTTTTAGCTGGCACCCATAGAACAGAGATATATGAATTACAGGCACACTTCAGAGGTATTGTGGGTTTGGTTCCAGACCACCACCAATAAAGTGAGTCACATTTTTTTTTTTTGCTTTTCCAGTGCATACAAAAGTTAAACTTACACTATAGTCTATTAAGTATGTAACAGCCTTATGTCTAAAACAAAAAAGGATGTACCTTAATTTAAAAATACTCTATTGCTAAAAAATGGTAACGGTCATCTGAGCCTTCAATGAGTTGTAGTATTTTTTGCTGGTGGAGGATCTTGCCCCAATGAGGACAGCTGACTGATCAGGTGGTAGTTGCTGAAGGCTGGGGTAGTTGCGGCAATTTCTTAAAATAAGACTACAGTAAGGTTTGCTACATCAGTGGACTCTTCTTTGACAAAAGGTTTTTCTGTAGCATCTGATGGTGTTGGATAGCATTTTACCTACAGTAAAACGTTCAAAATTGGAGTCATCCTCTCAAATTCTGCTTCTGCTTTATCTACTAAGTTTATGTAATCTAAATCCTTTGTCATTTCATTCATGTTAACAGCATCCTTACCAGTAGATTCCACCTCAAGAAATCACCCTCATCCATTCAAGTTTTATCACAAGATTGCAAAAACGTTGTCACATCTCCAGGCTCCACTTCTAATTCTAGTTCTCTTGCTATTTCCACCACAATTACTTCCTCTACTGAAATCTTAAACCCCCTCAAAGTCATCCACAAAGATTGAAATCAACTTCTTCCAAACTCTTGGATAGTGAATCCTTTCCACAAGTTCAATTTACTTTGCCCAAATCTACTGGAAGAATCACTCACTGTCTATGGCAGCTCTGGCTTCACAAAATATATATCTTAAATAACAAGACTTGAAAGTCAAAGTCCTTCTTGATCATGAGTTGCAGAATAATGTCACGTTACCAGGCATGAAACATTTCTCTCCTGGGACATCTCCAGCAGAGCTCTTGAGAGATCAGGAACATTTTCAATGAGTAGCAATATTTTGAAAGGAATCCTTTTTTCCAGTCAGGAGGTCTCTCAAGTGGGCTTAAAATATTCAGTGAACCATGCTGTAAACAGATATACTGCCATCCAGGTTTTGCTGTTCCATTTATACAGCACAGGTAGAGTACATTTAGCATCATTAGGACTCTAGGATTTCTGAAGAGGTAAATAATTGGCTTCAACTTAAAGTCACCAGCTGCATTAGTCCCTACCAAGAGAGTAAGCCTGTCCTTTGAAGACTTGAAGCCAGGTATAGACTTCCACTGTCTAGCTATGAAAGACAACATCTTCTTCCATCAGAAGGCTGTTTGTTGGTCTGTAATCCCAGCACTTTGAGAGGCTGAGGCAGGCAGATCATGAAGTCAGAAGATGAAGACCATCGTGGCTAACCGATGAAACTGTCTCTACTAAAAAGACAGAAAGTTAGCGGGGTGTGGTGGCACATGCCTGTAGTCCCAGCCACTCAGGAGGCTAAGGCAGGAGAATCACTTGAACCCAGGAGGCGGAGGTTGCAGTGAGCTGAGATTGGGCCACTGCACTCCAGCCTGGGCAACACAGCAAAACTGTCTCAAAAAAAAAAAAAAAAAAAGACAGCTGTTTGTCTACACTGAAAATCTGTTGGGTAGTATAGCCAGCCACCTTCATCAACTACCTTAGCTAGATCTTCCGGATAACTTGCTGCTTCACCTTGCATTTTTATGTTATGGAGATGGCTTCTTTCCTTGCCCTCCTCATAAACGAATCTCTGCTAGCTTCAAACTTTTCTTCTGAGGCTCCCTCACTTCTCTCAGCCTTCAGAGAACTAAAGAGGGTTAGAACCTTGCTTTGGATTAGTCTTTTGCTTAAGGGAATGTGTTATACATAGCTGGTTTGATCATCTATCCAGACCATTTAAAGTTTCTCCATATTAGCAATAAAGCTGTCTTGCTTTCTTATCATTTGTGTTCACTGGAACAGTACTTTTAATTTCCTTCCTGAACTTTTTCTTTGCATTCACAGCTTTGCTAACTGTTTAGTGCAAAAGGCCCTGCTTTTGGCCTGTGTCAGCTTTTGACACGCCTTCCTCCCAAGCTTAATCACTTCTAGCTTATTTTAAAAAATGAGACACTTGACTCTTCATTTCACTTGAACACTTAGAGGTCACTGCAGGGTTATTAGTTGGACTAATTTCAATGTATTTGTTTCTCAGGAAATAGGGACACCAGAGAAGAGGGAGAGAGTCCAGGGAACAGCCAGTAGGTGGAGCAGTAACAACACACACAGCATTTATCAACTAAGTTCACCACCTTACATTGGTGTGCTTCCTAGTGACTCAAAACAATTATAATAGTAACACCAAAGATCACCATAACAGATATAGTAATGAAACAGTTGGAAACATTGCAAGAACTATCAAAATGTGACAGAGATAGAGAGTACATGCTGTTAGAAAAATGACACCAGTAGACTTGCTTACCAGAGTTGCCATAAACTTTCAATTTGTTAAAAAAAAAAAAAGCACCTTGTAGAGAGCAATAAAGTGAAGTACCAATAAAATGAGGTATGCCCATATATAACAATGCTTTTCAAATAAGTCAATTATCTTAATTGTAATTATTTTAAGTCTCATGACAAAATTACTTTCTTCAGTTTATTGCTACCTTCTTAGAAACAAAGTTTGGGAGTTGACAGGGATACCTTAATTTTATATGAATAAAAACAAAGGCCTTCATAGGTTTTTACTAATTCCATATTATCCAATTAAAAATATAAACCCAGACAATTCAAAATTTAAGAGAAAAATAGGGGAACAATACAGATGTGAAGCAGCAAGTTAACATGTCTTCAGTAACAGCCTACCTGTCTGAACCAGCGGTTGCATTTTTGGTAAGCCTTCTTTTTTCTCTTTTACCAGGTTCTGGAGCAAATTCAGTTTGCCTTCCTGGATTTGTAAATTGTAATGATCTCAAAGCTTTCGCAGTTCTTCCCTGAACAAAGGTAAACAAATGATCAACTCAAGTCTGGACATCAGACAATAGATTAATGTTTTATTTAATGTTAAAACAGATGATTCCCTAACCTGGAAGACAGTCTGGAACACACAAAAAAGAAAACAAGGGCAAGAGAATTTACATGGCCCTAGACCATATTCAAAGCTTACTGGTGAATGTATTAGTAACATTTCCATTATTTGATTTTAGTCTCTGGTGTATTAGGAGCAGAGGAGGAAGGTATTGTGAAAACTGCAATGGCTGCTGCCAACACAGGCGAGAAGGCACGAAACAGGTTGTTTATCCCGCTGGCATATAACAGATTTCCTAAGAATCTTGGGTCCTTCCTTATTATTGTATTTTATATATTTCTAAGAGCAGAGAATATGATTTCAAGTTCTAGAATAATATTATAATCTTTTTTAAAAGCTTTGGCAAAAGGAAATTTTAAGGGTTTATGTTTGTTATTTGGGGAGGAAAGAGCCTCAGTTGATACATTCTATAAGAACATTGGATAGATACGATGAAGACATCTACAGTGACACTACCAGCAAGTATCTAGTATGAATTGCAGATATATTGGGCCCTTAAGATGTGCCACTGAAAAGAGAACAACAGGAAAACAGTATAATTTCAAATTTCAACTTGGTTTCATAAAAAGGAGAAAATTGAGAGAAGTATTCCAGAAGTAAGAATTATGAAATCATTACAAGTAAAAATTCTCAGAAGTACTTCTTTGACATACTTTTCCCACACAAAACATGGCTTTATGAAATATTCAGTTGTTCTGTTATGGTTAAATATGCATGTAGGCACGTAAATAAGGAATACAGGTAAAATATTTAATACTTTACAATGTAAAAATGTATTTTTTTTAACCACAGGGAGTCCTAAAATTAGCCTTGACCATACCAAGTAGGAATTCAGAGCTAGAAGCAAAGAAAACTCACAAGCATTTAAAAAACTCAAGAATGGCATCGTGTCAAAGGAAAAAGAGTGAAATAAAACACAATTACTGTTAAGTCACCTCTCCAATGTTCCTTTTAAAGGAGTGATTTCCAAGTCCTTCACAAAAAGGGGAATTCATCCTGTTACAAAGACCCTTGCTGGTTGCCATGTCCCATGTAGTTATACTTTGGTATGAGAAAAGAAACTAAATCTTGGCTTGGCCAGAATGTTCTCAAACCTACTCCTAAAGTCTTAGTACTATAAGTTGTAGCTTAGAGTCTTAGGCATATTTTATCATTCCTTTCACAGGCCTACTTCCTTTAACCCCCAGTCTCGACCTTCAGTATATGTAAATCATATTTAGAAACATCATCCACTTTCTCCCTCCTGTTAATTCACTGTATGCTAACAAATACAGTAATAATGTAAATATAGCTTCCTTACAGTTAAGCAAAATCTTACATGGTAGAAATCACATAGTAGGAAAAATAACTGCTATACATACATCTGACTCAGGTTTCCTTCTCTGGCGGTCTTCAGTATCAACATCCACACTTCCGTTGATTATCTGTGTGCATTTTGGACAAAGCTTCCAACCAGGTACAAGCTGTCTTCCAAATTTTGCACTCAGAAAAGTGGCGTCATCTAAGTCAATTACATGCAAATTCTTTTTTGCTAGTTTTTTGTGTATGTTAAATGGGTCACAACATGACTTCTGTAAATCCTCAAATCTGTCAATGTAAATTTTTACATGATGAAAGCAAATTGTATTGTTCCCAGAAAGTGTCATTCCAGTTCTAAGTTGAAGTAAAAGCATATCATTTGATGACAATTCTTGCAAAGTCTTAAAACCTGTGTGACGAGTATAGTATGTTTTATGGCACTCATTTGTAGTACGAAGCTGGACTCCAACTGAGCATGGATCCATCATTCTTGATTCTAGCAAATTTTCCCTGCTTTATTTTGTCTAGAGGTCTAGGTCATGGGCTGATCACCCTAGAGAAAATATTAAAGAGAATCAAATTTGCACTGCAAGTTTATCTAGGAAACTGAAAAAACATTTGATAAAATTCAACACGTCTAAAAGAAAATAAGGGGAAAAAAAGGGTATTTACCAAAGTCCTATTACAAACATTGAATAATCAAACAGAAGCATTCCCTGTAAAGCCAGAACTTCATCAGAACACCTGCTATTCAGATATTTAGGACCATATAAGAATTAAAAAGGAGGAAATAAATATTATTCAAAGATGATATCAACATCTACATGAGAAATACAACGGGTTTAACAAACTATTAGAACTAGTAAGAGAATTCACCAGGGATGCTAGAAACCAAAAAAACACTGTATCTTATAAAATATGTGAATCTTACAAAAGATATACAACGAGACCTTCATGGAGAAAACTATCAAATTGAAAGACGAAAATCAATACCCTAAATAAATGCAGCTATAGATCATGGAGTGCCTCACTATAAAAAATACGTCAATTCTCCAGGAATTCATCTATAAACTCAGTGCTATGCCAATAAAAGTTCCATGAGATATTCTACTCCCACCCTCTTGGAATTTAGTAAGCTGGTCTAAATGAAAGAATAAAGTTCTAAGAAAGCCAAGATAATGTTGTAGGAAAATACAGTAAGATACTGTACTATAAACCTATTCTAATTCAAACTGCAGTATTAGTATAGTACAGACAAACAGATCCATGAATAGATGAGGGCTAGGTATATGACACATGGTACTGTTTAATCAATTGGTATCACACATTAATGTAGAAGGGAATTTAACCAGTTAACTATATGGAAAAAGAATTAGATCTCTTCTGCACAAACAAAAATCAATTACAGGTGGATTAAAGAATTAAACCTGAAAAGAAAAACTAAACATGTTTATGAGAAAATAAAGAATGTTTTGTGACATGGGAGTAGGGAAGAATTTCAAACAAGCAAGCAGGTACCAAAAAGAAAAAAAAGATGGATACATTGGATTATATGCACAATTTACACACTTCTGTATAACTAAAGGAGAAAACAATGACACTTGAAAGGTGTTGTGAGGATTATTATTGCAAATATTCAAGTAACTCCTCACTTCTAAAAATCAATTAGAAAATGACAGTCCACTGGAAAACTAAACAAATATAGCTAGGCAATTCACAGAGAAAGAGAACAAAAGCCAATACATGCACACAAACTCTTTCCATCATAGTTCCTAGGAAAATGCAAATTAAATATCATTTCTTAAACATTTGCTTGAAATCAATTTAAAAATCTGATATCTGGTTAAGATGTGGCAAACTCTTACATGCTCCTTATAATAACTTTGGTAGGAATGTAAATTGCTGCAACTGTTTTAGAATGTTTTTGGCAATTTCTTGTAACACTGAGGAAGCACGTACCTTGGGACTGAGCTCTTTTTAGTTTTGGGTGTCAGTTGGAGAAAAATATCTCCAATGTGAGCACAAGTTATAACTTTCAGCATTCATTGTGAAAGATGACAAACAACCTAATTGTAAAGGATGTGAAATTGTTACTCATACAAGGGACTCCTGCATGTTACAACAGTTAAAATGAATAAACTACATGAATTACATGAATAAATCTCAAAGATAATCTTAAGTGAGAAAAGTTGCAAAGGTTATATAGTATCATCATTAAAGGTAAAATTAAGAAAAATAAGATAGTATATAAGATTTATAGATGAAATGTGAATACATATATACATAAGTGATACTTCTTAGGGGAAAAAACATTTTTTTCCCAAAAAAATTTACAGAAAATAAGGCTCGGTGACATGTACATAAGTGCCTCACTACTGTCCATAGTTCCTATTTGAAATTTTTCCTAAATAATAATTTTCAAAGCAAATAAACAAAACTAATTTGAATTGTCAAGAAAAGAGCAATCAATGCAAGTCATTAGGAAACAAACTGCTATTGAGAAAAGATGTGAACCACTGAAATCTGAGTGGCAGTACTGTGAAATCTAGGATTCAGCAATTTTACAAGTGTTTTTAAGCTTGGAGCCAAATTAAAAAAAAAAAAGAACTGGACAGAAATCTTAAACACTTTTTGATGTAGTTTCTTCAGAAAAAAACAATAATCAGCAAAATTATATAAAAAGAAAAGACCCTGGCCTCAGGTAACAAAAAATGGTGAATAAATGTCTGTTTGCGTTTTAGGTCAAAATACTATATTTAGAAAGTTAAAAAATAAAATACACTTTCCAGTGTTAAAAAATGGTATGGAACATTTTAACTGAAAAAATGCTTTAAAGCTGATAAAAACAGAGTATATTTGCATTCATTTATTCTGTTTTAGCCAGATTTTACAATGAACTAATATAGGCCCCAGTCAAATCAGATAAAATGGCTTCTATCACAGTATTAGAAAATTTTTTCTAGCCAGGAGCTGTGGCTCCCGCCTATAATCCCAGCACTTTGGGAGGCCCATGTGGGTGGATACCTTGAGGGCAGGAGTTCTAGGCCACACTGGCTAATACAGGGGAACCCCATCTCTACTAAAAATACAAAAATATTAGTCAGGTGCGGTAGTACAGCTACATGGGAAGCTACGGCATAAGAATCTCTTGAACCCAGGAGGCGGAGGTTGTGGTGACCTGAGATTGCATCACTGCACTCCAGCCTGGGCAACAAAATGGGACTCTTGCCTCAAAAAAAAAAAATAAATAAAATTTTTTTTTCTTCAAACAGATACATGGATTAAGATAAATTAAGGAGGAAAAAAAGCAAACCAGAGGTCAAATTACAAAACAACAAACTATGTGCGAATGTATCTTACCAAACAAAGGACATAATCTGGCTCTGATTTTTCTTAATAGTCAATACAAGGGAAACTAGATCAACTTTTCCTCAGTACTGTACCGAAAATGCTTAATATCTTGTTAATGGCACAGATTCTTTACATTTGTAGGTAACTATCACCAATTTTTAGCCACAGATCTATAATGGAATTTTTTTTATCATAAAGCTATTTCCTAGCATTCAAAACTTGGGCTACTTCAGCCATAATTGATAGGAAAAGCATTTAGGAATATAATTACTTTAGAAACCTTATCTGTCCATAGTAATAATACATTTTGACCCTTTAGAATAATTTCATTTACCCTATTAATTTTAGGTAAAAAGTTCTTTTCCTTAGTTATTGGAGAGTCTCTGTTCCATTAGTTTCCTTTAATCCTGACTAAATTACTACAAAATTCACAAGAGTTCATCATGATTAAAGGAAACGAATGGAACAGACTCTAAGTTATGTCAGTGAAGTTGAATACCTATTTCTGAAACTGCTGGCCTCAAGTGATCCTCTCACTTCAGCTTTCTGAGCAGGTGAGTCCTGTGATTTGTTTACAGGAAGTTCAGGTTTTTTTTAGTAACAGGCAGGACATTGAGCTGGCACCAAAGAAAGATCTCTACTTACTAGATGTAGAAAATGGGGTCACCAGATTTGGCAAATAAAAGACGCAGGATGTCCTGTTAAATTTGAATTTCAGACAATGAATTACTTTTTTACCAGATCAGCTCATTTTAAAATTAAAATATCCTATCTGATAGAAGACATTGTCAACTGTGATAAAAACGAAATTTTACAGATTAAAACTCAGCAGCAAACTAATCCCACTTGCTTGAGTAAAAATGCTCACACCTAACTCAAGGTAGTTCTGTACTCAGTCTTCAACAGATTAGCTTTCTGATCTACGATTAGGCAGTTCGTTCACGTACTGTGGAAGAGTCCAAGTCCAGCCAGCTCAAGGCACACTAAATTTCAGACACTGATCATAAGTAGTCACTGTCTGCCTTCTAAAAATTACACCGTCTGGTTGTTCCTCCTCTGTTATATTCCTCCATATCCTCATTTCTACCTCTTTCTGTCTCCCTCCTATAAGCTAAAGTTCTGCTGTAGAGCTCTTTGGGTCTGTTTCCTAGCAACAGTTTTTGCTCATTTTGGTCTGTGTTCTCGCAATGTGGCCTACAATTTATATTTTATTTTCTTCAAATGACAGTCCAGCAACTTCATGTTGTTCCTTTTACCTACAGTATAGTGTTAAGTTCTTCCATAAGGATGATTTATCTGGCCCCTTCCTTAATTAACACAGACAGAAATGCGTTACTATTTACTACCCCTGAATCAGCACTGGCCATCAGCTGAGACCTCAGGAGAAATGCAGAATCTCAGTAACAGCCCCAGACCCAAAGAATCAGGATCTGCATTTCAAAAAAAGATCCCCAGGTGATTTGTAAGCACATTACAGTTTGTCAGGTACTGCTTCAAATAATTCAATTAAAAAATTTAAATTTGAAATGTTTTGATATCTTCTATATTTTATAGGCAATGAATTACTTCTCTGTTTTATAGAAGATATCAAAAAAGAATAAGAAAAACACAGATATGTATCTGCCCTACAGGAAGTCTAACCTTGGGAAGATTATTGGGGGAGAGGAGATTTAAACTTGATGCACTAAGGACACAGAAAAGCGTGCTTCAATAGAAAACTGCACTGTTGAGAGCACAGCCTTTCAGGTTTTCACATTCTGATTATATGGAAGTCTGACTCTTTCAGCATATTGGAGCAATTTTACAACTGTCAACTATAGATAACCAACAGCAATGCAAAATACTTGTCTGTATTCTTGTAAATTCTATCTGGTGAAGGTTCAATGGACTTCCATCTCACCGTGGAAGCAGCCAATATTTGCCTTCACTTGCACATTTATTTCAATATTCCTACTCTATAAGCATGTCTACCTTTTATTGTCAGTTAAACTGGTTATAGCATGTTACCAGTTCCTATGTTAATAATCTTTTAACACAAGAAAAGATTTATTTGCTCCAGTCAATCATTTTGGTCAGTATAATACCTAGTACTCTTCATGGGAGAAGAAAAAGCATCCAGCTTCTTATAACAAGCAAATCAATAACCAAAACTCCAGTCTTCGAAATTCACCATGGTATAAATAAAATCCAGGTGTTCAATACTTTTCAATGTCAAATAATAAAGATACTTTTTGACAAGTTGAATTTTGCTTGAGCCCTGTGCTGGTTCTTTATTAGACATAATTTAAAAAAAATCCTCCCACCCTTGAGTTAGGTAAGACTCAAGGATCCCTCCTTGTTTACCTATGACCAGGCAAGAGAAAGGCCCTCCAAATTCCCATTTTTTGCTTCAATTATGAATTTATGAATAACATGCTGAGCTGCTTGGCCCTACAGATCAAATGGAACAAAATACTCGTTAATCGAACTTTAGTTTCTCTCCCTCCCCCAGGTCCCTGAAGTTTGGCCAACTCTCAGCCAGAGCCAGGGAATAAATTTCTCAGATCCACTATTAGATCAAGCCACCCTTATATCCTACTTCCTCACACCAGTTCTTTCTAGCAAGTTCATTCCTTGGAGACTCTTGCAAACTTTTTGGTTCTACCCATTACAAAAGTCCCTTTTCTCCTCCTGCAATAACCCTTTTGAATAGTCTCTCCTAAATCTAGATGTCTTATTTGGCATTGTATTTTAAAAATTCTGTACAGGAGAAAATTCAGACTTTCTTCTGTCTTAGGATTGACATCACTTCAGTGCTTAAATATAGGATGTTTTGTGATTATGGGATTAACATTTAATATTTTTGTAGCACTACCAAAGAGTCAAAAGAGAATGAAATAAATGCAGAATAGATTGATTAGACCTGTTCTACTACCTTAGGTAGCAAACAAAAGTATTTGTTCCTCATACAATTTGAATGCTGCCAGCTCAGGGAATTATCCAGCTTTACTTTATAACATCTGTAGTTTTAATGAGTTCTTAAGAATTATCTCCTGCTACCCATTACCAAACGGTAAGGAAGGTAGGTTAGGTTAATTGAGGAAGGTGAGAAAACTCATACGTGGCCATGATGCTTGTAAGACTTCCCAATAGGCAAGGTCCAGGACATTATCACAGGGGTTTTGAGGTGTTAAAGCAGAACACCCTCACCACCACTAACAAAACAGCAGAACAGTCACTAGCAAAACAACAGCAGAGGGAATTAAGGATTAATCAGGGAACTCACTTTTTCTCCCTAAATTTGTAGGAGAGATGTGGCAATACCTGTTCCAAAATGTCAATTTCCCTTCACATAGTTTTTTAGTTTACCAGTCTCCTTACTAGCGGGAAAAGTTACATTTAGAGGGAATTTAACCAAACAAAAAAATTACTTCGTTTTTGGGTCAACTGATGTCTCTTTTATGAAAAACATGGAAAAAAAAAGTTTTCATGAAATGTTTTATGAAAAAAAATTAAAGGCTTTTTTTGGCATAGGGTCTTACGACTTATAAGGTGTCTTCCCAGACGATCTCTTATTTAATAAAAATATAATTTATAGCTACTCCTACCCTCCAAATTAGCTTTAGTTATGGACACATATACCAGTCACACATCTTGCAACTGAACTTTTTGTGCCTGTCATCTTGAAATACTGACTACCTGTATAACATGAGAATTGGCATTAATCAAAGGGCGCAAAGGAGAAGAGGAGAGTCTCAATCCTCAAGATCTTGGCCCAATAATAAAGGTAAAGACAATTTGGCTGGCGCAGTGGCTCATGCCTATAATCTCAGCACTTAGGAAGGCCGAAGAGGATGGATCACGAGTGTCAAGAGATCCAGACCATCCTGGCCAACATGTGAAACCCCTTCTCTACTGAAAATACAAAAATTAGCTGGGCATGGTGGTGCGCACCTGTAGTCCCAGCTACTCGGGAGGCTGAGGCAGGAGAATCGCTTGGACCCAGCGGCCGAGGTTGCGACAGGGCGAGACTCCGTCTCAAAAAAAAAAAAAAAAAAAAAGGTGAAGACAATTTAAAACAAAAATATAGTCCATAGCATCATTGAAAAGATTTGGTTGAAAGATTTGGTAGTTAGGACATGCCGGGTACAGTGCTTAGGGCAGACACCATCTCGGGAACCTTCAAAGCCACCCTGAGGTTAAGTACTGTCATTCTCATTTACAGATAAAGAAACTGAAGCCTACAGCTGTTGTTATCATGCCTGACACAGTGCCCAAATCCTGCTGTGACTCCCACCCCAACCCCGTAAGAAGCCACATACATTTCCTCCTTTGTCCACGGCTATTTACAAATGACTAAAACCAGCAGATCGGTCCCATGGGCATCTACTAAGTTCATGGTACCAGGATGGAAAAATAAACATCAGCCTCTGGCCTCAAACGGCCAGGGTTGACAGGTTTCGGATTTGACAAATTAAAAACAGAAACAGCAGAGATACAGGCCGTCTACGGGGTTCAAGGCCACAATCACTCTAAGTAGTTCAACTCAAAATCGTAGCTTTGAAGGTCCTGGCCCTGCCCGACAGGCGACAACCCTCGGAGAGGTCAGAGGCGGCAGAATCTGTGCTGGGCTTTGACCCAAGGCGTCGCGGGATAGGGGTAGAGTGGGGGTGAGCGGTCCCGGCCAGCACCCGGAAATCCCCCTGCGCGTGCGGGCCTCCTCTTTCACCTCTCCCCCGGGTCCCCAGTGACTCCGCCGGGCTCCGTCGCCACCCAGGGGCCCATCTCAACTCTCCCGCTCCTTCCCAGGGCCTCCCCCACTCTCCTTCCACCTTAGCTTGAGCTCTCCTCCGCCCGGCGGGGCAGGATCTGCGTCGGTACAAGCCTCGCTCGCCAGCCGGCTTGCCAGCCTTTCCCCGCGCTACCACTGAAAGGACGGCAAGACCGGGCTAGAGAGGCTCAGCGCCACCACAGAGAGATGGCCAGGAGAAGCCTAGAGCGAACCCGAGACTGGCGGCCTCCGGGGGCGGAAGGGGCGGGGCAGCGTGAACTGGTAATATGACTCAAGGCGAGGCAAGAGTTGCTTCAGATGCTGTTTTTTGCAGTCCTCCTATAGGTTGGGGATTTGGGAGGTCCTTGGGGGCCGTCTCTTACAAGACACAGTTCCCACTAAATTGGATTGTATTTGTAAATCTCTACACCTGTGCGTGATAGTAAACTTTTGCACCCGAATACCCCTGCCCGTGAAGGAGAGTGAGTGAATTAAAAGGATCTGAAGAACGGACCCTTTGTTTAAGGTCTCACATTTTATTTCTTTCATTCAAGCGAAATACATTCCAAAATGCATCTTTCATTGGAAACTATAAAAATAGCTATTACTTCGAGTAAAATGTAGGCTCCAGGAAGTTGCTTGTAAATTTTCTTGGGACAGAAACAGTATCGTTTTTTCATCTAGAATCCTGGAGAACTGAAAGTTTCGTAGATTGAGGATTCTTGGCCTTTTAATTATCTTAAGGTCGGGATGGAGGGGAAAAAAACTGGTGAAAAATGTGGAACAAGCAAATAAGCTCCACTAAGGCCCAAGCTTGTTAGTAAGTCTCTGCATCTACTGTAAGCTGTTTTCTGCAGTGATCTGTGGTCCTCCCACCACTTTAATGCTGCTCCCATACTAGGCAGGCGATTGATGCCTAGAACGAGGGAATGACAGAAAGGAAAAAACAATGGATAATTTCTTCAGCTGTGTCTGCAGGAGGTTGCATTCTATAATTCTTAGTTTATTTTGTGGTTGGTACTTGGTTAATGACTAGACAAAGGCATAAAATTTGTGTATGCTTCCAAGGAGCTCACAGACTAGTGAGAGAGGAATAAATCACAGTGTGGTGTGAAAAGTGTCATAACAGAAACACATGAATATAAACAGGATAAAATGAGAGGGGCTAAAGCAGGAGCGTTCTGGGAGGAAATTAATGCCTTCATGGGACTCATGTGAGAAACGAATTTGATGCAATGGTGGCTTCCTGGTAAACTAGGCAAGCTATTCTAAAGGTAATGAAACAGAAGGCTCACAGGTTACATTAAGATTATTAAATAATATAGCCTATTCAATTTAAGTATCCAGTGAAAAGGTGAAAGAGTTGTGGTAAGTGGACACACTTAGGATAAGGTGCAAGCAAGTGGAAGGACACCTTCACCTGAATCATAGGTTAAGTAATGTTCATATATTCTATCTGCCACAACAGCCTTCTCCACTGATGGTATACTTAAGAGATGAGGTGTCAGCAAAGAGGTCCACAGGTGCAAAGTACTTTGGGCCAATGGTACACACCTGCTTTATTGGATAGAAGCAGGGAAGTATGCCTGGTCACAGCCAGAGCTTCCTAGGTAAGTTGTTGAACAGTACAGGTTTTATTTGCATTTCCTTGGCAGAGCACATATATGATATTCTAGGTGTGGGTGGCTGATTTAGGAGTGACATAGTTAATAGCCCAGAGATGTCGTGATTGCTCAAAGCTTAGTTTTTCCATCCCTTTTTGGCTATCAGTGACTCTCTATTCCATCATATTTCTATTTAACTTTGGCATGTCTTATAGTTTACTAACTTACTATATATATTTTACATAATCCTGCCTATGTTTCACAAAGTACATGCTTACTCATATTCTATATTTAAAATATGCTAGGAGTTTTGCATTTATCTCATAAGCTACTAGCTTACTGTCTATAGTTAACACTTCTTATGACTTTCATCCATCCCTGAAGAAACTGTAAAGCCTTTCAGTATGGCTAGAGTGGAAAGCTGGAAAGGCATGTAGATAACAAATAATGCCCTTTTTATGCCATATTAGTGATACTGAATTTTAAACTGTGAAAACTGTAAAACTATCAGGAGTGCAGAGAATAGAAGAGAGGTGCAGTCCTGGGCAAGATAGCCAGGTGGAAACTCTTGCCCTAATGCAGATGATTAAGAAGAGGGCCTCCATCAACTCAGTCAGTGGCTCTTTGGGGTGAAATGTGCTTCCCTCCCACTCACCTCCTTCCACTGGATTTGGTAATGTATAGACACGTTGTACTAGCAGGGGTTGCTACTAGTATCTAGTGGGATAAAGGACAGGGTAACCACTAAACATCTAACAATGAACGTGACAGCCCTCCTCCTCCACCAACAAAGAACTAACTGGCTCAGTAGGGCCAAGATTGAGAAACCCTAAATGAACGACATTTAAAAGGCAGAGAGGATAGAAGTTAAGCAAGCAGAATTGGTCAGATTTTTTTTTTTAACTGATTAGATGTAGAGGTTAGGAAGAAGTAATGAATTATTTTAGGTTTCTAGCTTGGATGACTGGGAAGTCCAAAGAAGGAATGGGCTAGGGAGACTAGAGATAAGAATTTAAATACTGAATATGTTAAGTTTTCTCAAACTTAGCAAGTGTACCTCCAAGTGAAGATAGGGAGTTGGAAGAAGGGAGTGGGATATGAGAAAGATCTGAGCTGGAAAATAAGAATTTTGGGAAATGTTAGTCTGTGAGTGGTAGTTATATCCTTGGAGGTAGACGGGGTAGGGAAGATGAGTTACCCATGGAATACAGAGGGTAGGGTTAAGTGAGAAAGAATAAGGCTAAGGATTAATCTAAATTTCTGGGCTCTCATTCTATTTTACTGAATCAGAATCTCTGTTCTCCAAGCCAGTCTACCAGATCATATTCTCTGCAGGTAAGATTCAAGAATCTGCATTTTTGGCAAGGAACCTAGGTGATTTTGCAGCACACTATGATTTTAGAACAACAGAAATCGGCCTCAAGAGAAGTCTAAGAAGGAGCAGACATGGAGGTAGCAAGAAAACTAGGGAAGCATAGAGACCGACAAACCAAGAAAGGAGAGAGTTTAAAGCCAGACCCTGTCAGTGCAAGAGGTTGCTAGAAAGCAGTACTGGCTAATAGAAATATAATGTGAATCAATTGTACATTTTCTAGTAATGATATAAAAAGGTAAATGGAAGCAAGTGAAATTAATTTTAGAGATATAGCTTGTTTAACCAATCATTAAAACATTAGCATTTTGCATTGTAATTAACATAAAAACTAATGAGGTATGTCACATTCTCTTATTCATATTATGTCTTGGAAACCTGGTCTGTGTTTTACACCTCCAGCCCCTCTCAATGAACTTAAAAGAAGAGGAGTCATTATTTGAACTTCTGTCTTCTAACCTCACACCCACCTTGTCCTTTCCTTCCTTGTAACAATATTTAAGAGTCAGTTGATTTAAAGAAACGTGATATAGGGGATTTAACTGATGACTGGACAGAAGGACAGATTGAAACTAGCTACACTTCAAATATTCAGTAGCTGCATGTGCCTCGTGGGTACCATAGTGGATAGCACAGCTGTAGAAGGTCAAGTAAGAAAAGAGCTCTTATCTTCCAACTCAGACTAAAATCAACTAGAAGGAAAATAAAAAGAACTAAATATATTCCTCAGCTGTACTAATAAGATAGTCATGGATGGTGTGGTAAGACCTGTTTCTGTGATGTGGTGATGGTAGAAGCCAGAATATACACAGTTAAAGAGGGAGAAGTTAGAGATGCTAACAGCTCCTGAGAAAACATTTTCAACAAGCTTTACTGTTACGTATAAAGAGGCCCCCTTTTTTCACCTCTGAATATGAATTTTAAGAAGAACACAATTCAGTTTTAAATTTAGGTTTTAACAATTACATTTGGATTTCTGCTTCTGCAAAATTACCCTATCGCTGGAAACACCTGAAAAATTGGGCACGGTGACTCACATCTGTAGTCCCAGCTACTGGAGAAGCTGAGATAGGAGGATTACTTGAAAAAAAAATATATATATTTTATACATTATATAAAATATGTAATATGTATATAAAATATAATTTATATAATAAACATACAATATTTACATGTAATATGTATAACATAGATGTACTATATAAAATATATTTTATAGAGAATATGCATAAAAATATATAATATATACATAAATACAGTTATATAAATAAGTGTATATATACTTACATCCATTTAGGAAGGGGTTGTATATATACATATACACATATATGTATGTATATGTGAAATCATTTTTTTTTTCAGACATTAGACAATAGGCAGTGCAGGATTGTGATCCCTGAGAGAAGGGAAACAAATGAATTAAGTTCCATAATGACTCCATCTTACTATCTGGAGGCAGTGTCCAGAGCCTAGAACAGGGAGGGGAGCCCAAACAAAAACCAGGGATTTCACTGAATGGAGGCAACAGAGATGGGAATTTGGGAAGGTTGATGGGCAGAGTATCTGAGAAGAAGAAAAGGCTGGCACACAAGAGTCCTGGACATCTGTGGGAGTGTTCCTTTGTATTGAGTACTTCACTTTGGGGCCGAATACTTACTTCTGCAATTGAAGGGTGAAACTCTATGAGACTGGGGAAGACACCAAAAAAGCAGTGGGCCACACAATTTCTAGTTCTTACGGAGGGCTGGGAATAGTTTGTGTTCCCATAAGCTAGAGCAGATTGACAGATCTTGTAAGAAGCACTTACTTGTTTCCACCAATCAAAGTATCAGTAGGAGACAGGTCACCAGGTTGGTTGCTCTCTATCTCTCTGTCTCTCTCTCTTTTTCTGTTTCTCCGTCTT